AGCAGGGTTCGAAACGATCGCAAAGGCGGTATACTACGTATACGCGCCAAAATTCAGTGATAGGTATATGTTGGACCGGATTCCACGAAGATGCCTCATTTTCAAGATAATGTTAGGTGCCTCAACAATTCAAACAAACGTCTAGTCTAGACAATTTTTCTTACTGGGCGTTTACAATAGTTTAAAATCCGCCTGGCTCCTGAGAGAAAATATATGGAGACTTCTCCATTGTGAGCGCCCCACGCGCTCGGAGTGATTCGGTCTTCGCTGTATGAAAAAATTAAAATCCAACTATAATCAGTTCTCGGAATCGAGTTTGAATATGGCCGATAGTATTGATAACAAATATTACAAATCAAACTTTTAATTGGAACTTACAAAGTTGTTCGCACGGTGGTGAAAGCTGCAACTAGGCCTGATTTTGGAGGCATGTTCCAATCTTCCGAGAAAATCCTATCGAAGCAGTTGTTCCTGTAACAAAATTGCATAAATTTAGTAATGACATAAGTAAATATTCCCCACAAACACTACTATTTTAGTACCTTACAATATAGAAAGGCTTTATATTAGGTTTTCTATCAATATTCAGATAAACTTAACAAAAAATAATTCAAAAACTCTAAGGCCTTCTCATAAATTACGTAGCAATTTAGTGAGGGAAACGGAATGAAGAGAACGCCTTTTTTTACGTGTTGAAAGATAGGGAGTGGCCTACGTCACCAAAAATAGGAGGCAGAGGGGGGTCGAAATGTCTAAAATTTAACGTTACGTACTTTATGAAAGACTCCTTAGTAGCTCTTCTTAATAATAATCTCTAACTCTGAGAAAATATGACATTGAAAAGTTTGGTATGGACCGCGCTAAATTGTGCATAATTGCAACTGAAAGAACTTCGCTTGATAAAGTCCTATCTTGATTAACTTAATTATCGCTAAATAACACGACTTTAGATTTTAGATGCGGTGAATCTTAATTCATTTTTCATGCAATTCACCAACGATAGACGGAATGCATCATATACATGTATGAACTTCGAATCCGTGTAAGAAAGCAAAGCACGTGCGCTTTGATTTAGTTTGATTTGCGATCGCGAAACTTTATCAAAAATGGCGATGCATTGCTTTTAGCATACGTAAAAGATTTGGTCCTTCAGTCGATCAGGCAGTGGAAAAGTTAAATGATTAATAAATGTGAAATATCATCAAAAGCGGCCGCATACAGCTACACTCATAGTGATTGTGCCTTTTCAAGGGGCTAAAGTTTCGATTCATATTACTTACGGAGCACACTCTTCTCCCAAATTGGCGCTGCGGGCTACGAGCGATCTTGCGTTCGACCTGTTGACTTCTGGAACCATGCTCGCTAATTTGAAGGAATCGCTGAAATGTTTCCCCAGGTTAAGCAGCACAAGGTACGTGAACCGAGAGCCCGTTCTGAAACGAAAATAATTATTTTGCGGAGAGGAATAGCCAATTTTACCAAAAATGAACGGAGAAAAATGAAAATACCAATTTCATTCCTAATTTAAGCGCCAGCCAGAATCAGATCAGAAGCATCAGCTTGAGTTCTGATTGATTCAACTACATTTTTGTCTGGTTCCATCATATATCGACGGTGAAACTACCAAACCACGTATCTCGGTTTGCGACGTCGCAGACTTCCTGTCATACTTTATTTTTTAAATGAAAAACTACTTAACGTCCAGTCTAGAAAATGTCTGTGATTTTTTCTCTTCGTGCGGAGAAAATTCTGTGAAAATTTCAAGGAATGATATTGATTTGGTCTACTTAAAAAAAAAAAAAAAATGCGAGCGTAGATTTTTAAAAACCGCAAACGAGATACGTGGTTTGGTAGTTTCACCGTCGATATGCAGCTCTGGCTAGTGCGACTACACTTCTCGCTGGCATCAAAATCAGCTAGGAATATACTTGAAAGTATCATGCTTTTTTCCGTGTCAAGGGAAAGTAAATTCAAAAATAAACTATGGCAAAAGTCATTTCCTTTTAAAAGAAGCTACCTGCATGGAGCCTTCATTGCCATGATTCTTGGCAAACCTCTGGCAAAGATGTTCTAAAAAACTGACTTTTATATTCGTACGTTGCAAACAATCCAATGCCTCTTTTATTCACACTAAAACTCCACATTAAGTCTACTTTTTTTTACCCCGCACACATTATGAATGGGATGTGGTATTGTCAACTAAATATTGAGAAATAAAAAATAAACAAGAAATAATCATACTAAAGGTTATAGGACATTTCGGCAACGATGTTTTGTCCGCGCACCTGTTTTTTCCAGTAATTTACGTCCACGCGTTTTTTCGGCACGGGAGTTTTGGTCCACGTGCCAGTTGAGACCCAAAGTTATTTGGCCCACATGTAAATACAAAAGACAATTGCTCACGACATTTTTGGATGAAAATGTAAAATGTCTTGGAAGAATGAGGGTTTGCTTGTTTTTTTTTGTTTTGTCTGTTTGGTCCAACGGAGAATAATATAATATAGTTGGGAGTTTTGGTAAAAATGGGGGAGTGTCAAATCCTTGAGAAAAAATTCATTAAAACTCTCTACACTTCTTTGGTGTAACAGGACTTAATTATCTTTCAAGAAATTCCCACCTTCTTATACCTGAACCTGATAAACCTTTATATTTGCCTCAGCTAAAGGCTCTTAGATTTTTCCTGTGTACGATAAGTATCTTGATTTATTTTGCGAGGAAAGATCTGTACTTTTAAAGGATACCTGCCATTTTCAATACGTTCAATTTCGTATAATACTGTGCAACACCTCTATTGTGAAATAGTTGCTTCAGGCGCCGCCGCACGGCGGGCGGGCGGCCAGCGCGAAACGCGCATTGGCGCCTAAAAACTTAAGTGGATACTTCAAGCATTGTGCAACGCGTGAAGTATCCACTTAGGTTTGTAGGCGCCAGTGGGCCTCTCGTGCTAGCAGCACGCCGCTCCGCTCTGTTAGGCTTTAATATTTATACTCGCATACTCAGCGTTTTTTAACTCATGATTTTGAAATGTTGGCCCACTCTGCATTGATTATTCTCATTTAAATTGATGGGGGAAAAATATGTATCAATTTATCAAAGGGGAATAATAATATAATGTGTGTTTTTTTAAAATATTGGTAGTTCCGTGTCAAATTTGATGATTTCCGAAGCACTTTAATTTTTTCTTTTACATTTTGTGCTTTTATTGTGCTGCAGCAAGGTGTACGCGCAACGAAACGCTCAAAATTTTACAAATTTGACTCTAAAAGATCGATGTACAAATGGGTTAAAACTAAAGATTGCGTGCTTCTTGGGTTTTTCCCCTCTTTTATTCATTTTTGCAGTTTCTGTCGGCACAACTGCGGCTCATTGCGATTAATGTCGCTGGGAAAAGGTTTTACAAATATTTGTCACGTTTTAAAAATATAAATGTTTTCAAAATGAAGTAATAATTTCGTAAAGAAAAATAAAAAAAATGAAAAAAGTACATATACAATACATAATAAAGTATACTGTACATTCAATATTTTAAGGATAGAAATAAAACCAAATATTCACCAATGACCATTTAAAAAGATGATTCAAAAGGAGAAAGTAATAACATTTCATTTAAAAAATGAGCAAACATAACAACACCTCCTTCTCTCTCAATTTCTCATTTCCATATTGTCAATATAATTTTACATACCAACTAAAATATAACGCTTGAACCAAGTCACTGTTGCTTATTTTACGTGTGGGCGTAAACTACTGGACAAAAAAGGTGCGCAGACAAAAAATCGTTGACAAAATGTCCTGAAACCATACTAAACCAAAAGTGCCAACAGTGATATACCATGTACATCTAGTGATTTCCACCCTCACCTCTTGGTCACCATTTTAGACAGAAAAAACAATTTATATTTTACACTGGAAAAAACGCATTGGATCTAGAGTCCAGACTCTTAAAAACATCGAAAAGAAAAAGTACTCTTGATTCAAACAGAATCTAGCTTAAATCAAGAACCAAGCCTCTTAATTTAAGCGGATTTCGTTTTGATTCAAGCAAAAATCCGATTGAATCAAGAGTAGGTATTTTTTCTTGTCAATGTTTTCAAGAGTCTGGACTCTAGATCCAATGTGTTTTCTTCCAGTGTAAATCGATGATTTTCCAATGACATAGCTCTCGCTCTCAAGTTTGATTTGAGGAAGCGGACAAGCTCGTGTACAAAACTTCAGTTTAATGCTTACTCGGTTTCTTACCTGGTAAAAGCATAAATCTGATCGTTCAACACGTGAGAGCGGAATTTTCCGTTGGTGATTGCATCATCATACATGGCCCGTTTTAGTTTGGCCATTTCCTTGAAATTCATCAAGGCGCTAGGTTGCTGCCGGTTGTAACTGTTGTATTTAGTCTCTGTCTCCACGTTTGTGCAGTAGTACTCCGGGTTGATCGGGATCCAGGGCTGTCTGTTGTTTGTGAAACCTGAGGAAAACATAAATTAATTATAATTATACAAATCCAAATCAAAGAACTCTAGCATCATGGCAGGCCCGCCACATCCCATCTCGGGCCCTGGTACCA